GGCACCACAACCACTCCTGGAGGCAACCAGCAGCCCGAGAGCCACCACTGTCTCCCAGCCGTGAGTGGCAGGTGCGTGTCTTATTTGTTCTGCACCTTTGACGTTGCTCGCTGTTGTCTATTGGACGGACAACAACGTTTGAAAGGGGGGAATTATGTAGCATTTGGTCCAATCAGACACACCATTTTTCATTAGATTTAACACCAATCACCATCGAGTCAGAACATCTTTGGAATTCATCACTCTTCAAACCCGGAAGAACGTGATCGCAAGTCCAAACCCTTGAAACCATCAAGATTTTCATCCAAGACTGCATCCGGACACTCGTCAAAGACCAAGGCAATGCAAGTATCGTGCATTTAACTAAACAAAACAGAGGTTTATTATAAGCGGTAGACCCCGTTGTAAAACGGCACTGATGGTGTTTAACTCTGGTTCTGACTAATTTTCCATAACTGCATTCTCTGGTTTCTCTAATGCTGTATGAAGGTGTTTTCTGTGGCCACGAAAATATCCTTTCCTAGAGTTGATATGAACTTACACTGAATGTTCGCTGGACGAACAGATTTAGTTGAGGGCAATTTAATTCTGCTACAGTTACTACTGGCAGCTGATATAAATAATTGTAATTAATCATAATTAATTGTAATTATTTATATGCATTTCCCTTTTGAGCTGATTTGCTACACCTTCCATCTGTACACATTGGGTTCTTCTTTTTAAATAAGCAATAAACAATGAAATAGCATTTTCTGATAGTCCTACCAATCTAAGCCTATTTAATAATATGTCCTGATCCACAGTATCACAGTAGATCATGGTTTTAGTAATGCCAAATTCATGGTTTCAAGTCCCACGAATTTGCATGACCTTGTGTTTCACATTGTTTATACTTACATAGTGATTTACAGTACTTATTCAGCATATTAAATTTGTAATTTAACATTGGGATACAGGAAAAAAAATATTTTGACACATTGTAAAAAAAAACAAAAAAGTAAAAACAGGCTTTAGGAATTAAAAGATTGCATTTTTTCAGTTTCTGTCACACACTCTTCATTATGTATGGCCCATTCTCAGCAGTTACACTTGGTTATAGAGTATTTGAAGAGGAAGACTCAATGTAAGTACACTGCATTCTGGTGCCCTACAGATGCCATATATATATTGCATTAATTTGTACCCCCGCCTTTGTTATATCTAATGTGTATGCCTGTAGTTCTGAAGGTTATGGCAGTATGATTGAGAAGTGCTCACTAACACAGATTTAGACAGATTTGTGAACAATATTTGAGAGAAATAGGCCTTTTGTGTACATAGAAAAAGTCTTAGATCTTTGAGTTCAGCTCATGAAAAATGGGGGCAAAAACAAAAGTGTTACGTTTATAATTTTGTTCAGTGTAGGATGTACCTGAGTAGATGTCCATGTGCTCACAGGCCGGTTTGGTGCCAGATTGTTGGGCGACTCCTGATGGCTCCCGCTCATAGTGCCAATTCCCAGTCAGGCCTGTTAAATGCTCCGCACGGAGTGAGCTTGGCAGATCCAGACCTCTGAAATGAACTGTGTGAACAGGCCAATTAAATGCTCCATGCTAAGCGTCTGTGGTTAACATTATGTTGTTCCCTATGTGGTGAGCATTCTGCTCATACTTACTGTTTGGCTGAGGCTTCGTCTGACAGTCAGTGTGGGAACAGGCAGGGGAACAGCGTTAGACACCTCACCCATCTGCAGTCTTTTCATAATGCATATATGCAAATGAATTACTAACAATAGCAGTAAAAACCTAGTGCTATCTATAGAACTGGTGTGTTCATTTTGTATTAAGAATTTATCATTTGCAAAGCTGAGCTTTGTAAAAGTATATGTGCTTTTTGACAAAATAAGTCTTATAAAGCGTCTGTAATATATCTGCATTGCAATCAGTGTATCTCCTTTGTAACGTAGAGACATGCTAGCAAATAAAGAGATTTATTTTTTTTTTTCAGTACCAGACTCTCAAGAACAAGACATTTTCCTCTGGAGGAAAGACACAGGCTTTGGCTTCCGGATCCTGGGGGGAAATGAACCCGGAGAACCGGTGAGTCAGAGAGCACACACAAATATACATGCATCCTTCCAACAACAGCTGTAAGAGCAGAGCTGATACTGCAAGTCTGTCCCAATCACTGCTGCTTTCTTAAGGCTGATTTATACTTCTGCGTCGGACCTATGCCGTAGGCTATGCGTCAGTTTTCATTTATACTTCTGCGTCGTTGTCCGCGTCAACGTGCAGTACACATGCAAACCGCTAGTCTGCAGTGTCCACGGGCATGTTGCTGGTGTAACCCGCAGTACCACGGCAAAAGCCGAAGAAGAAGCGGCTCGTTGGAGAAGCATTATAGCCGTGACGGCGGCAAATAAATATCAAATCATTAAATCATTATTTAAAACTACAAAAAGGAGACAACAACGGAACAGGAGATGATGGCATTCTTTCAATCTGCACAAGGACTTGTACCACGGCAGATCAACATTGTTTGTTGCGGACAACTACTGATGTATAATGCTATGTAGTATAATAAATGATAAGACACTTGTTCTTTGCTTTGTTTTATTTTATATAAGAAGGTGTAACATTAAAATATATTAAAGTGTACATAAACACACACAAAACTCAAGTACATATGGAAGGAGGGGTTCTTGCAGACCAATCACAGCGCTTGCGGTCCGCGTAGAATTGACGCGCTGTTCGATTTTTGGAGAGGTGCACGTCAGGCTACGGCGTATGGGTGTGCGTCTATGCGTAAGCTACGGCGTAGGTTCGACGCAGAAGTATAAATTGGGCTTTACACGGCGTGCATTGATTTGAATGGAGACAGCTGCTATGTGCTAGCTTCACCTCCAGAGTGTTAAGCGTGATATGAAGGACAGGGTCCCAGTATCAGAGAAACATAGTGAGGCAATGGTTTACATGAATTGGCTTATGTCACAGTCTGCAGCCTGCAAGAGCTGTCCTGCTTACCAGTGTTCTTCTCATGAAATGCATGGCAGATCTACATAGGGCACATAGTGAAGTACGGCTCAGCGGATGAGGACGGCCGTCTGCGCTCCGGAGACGAGCTCATCTGTGTCGATGGCACGGCGGTGGTGGGAAAGTCTCATCAGCTGGTGGTGCAGCTCATGCAGCAGGCGGCTAAACAGGGTCACGTCAACCTTACTGTCCGCCGCAAAAACGCTTACGGAGGTACACCACTGGCATCTGCTTTTCTAGTTTGATTTTCATTGTAGTTCATTTAATTGTTTTATTTTCATATGTATTTCTATTAAATTTTTCATCACTTCTAACACTACAGCATAACATGCTGAAAATCCTATGGACCGTTCTCACATTTCTCACATTTTGTACAACAAATTTATTTTTGCCTTCCCATTTGCTCAGATAGCAAAATAAAAACTGCATGATAATGTTTCGACTTAGAAGCTAGAAGCTTAAACTAGAGAGAGACTGATAACGGCAGAGAGAACGTCAAATTTACCGTAGATGCTCTGAAACAGCCTTGCATTAGCGTTAACTCATTTTTTGTAATTTGATGCAAAGGTAATATAATACAAAACATAATGTTATAAATGTACACACACATGTGTACACGCAAAGGCCCAAAGCAACAAACCCAAGAGCATTACTGCCTGTGTTGAAATCTGAAATGCTATGATGCGTGTTCATATTGAGAGTAGTATTTACAAATGTTGTAATCTAAGTCAGTCACATTATTTAAACACTAACATTTCAACATTTGTTGAATTCACACCTCTGGAATATTGAGAAAACATAAATTACCACAAGGTTGTGTGGTAATTTCATTGCCACTTTAGAGTTCAGAGAGATCAAAGAATTTTGAAATTCTCTTAGACCACTGGCAAGCACCGTACTGTAAATGTTGTGCTTCGTGGTTATGTGCACGTATTTTAAATATGAGCACTTTTATTACTGAGATGCTGGGAAAGAAGCTCACATCATGCAAAGACGTGATAAAAACTGATAGCCTATATAATAACACTATAGACTATAGTTAACAAAATAATACCTTTAAAGCCTTTTTTTTTAACATTTTGTCTTACATAAATTTCTACATATGCCATATGTCATGCTATAGCATCATTAAACTAATGATATAGAGTTTACTAACGTAACTATCTAACAATGGACGAAAGTGTTTTTTTCCTCTGACCCAATAAAGGCAGCTGTGTAATTTGCACCCTGAATAAACATTTAAAGAATTTAGGGGAAGCATTTAAATAATCCTATGAATGCACTTAAAGAATGCAGAATCAAATTGCTAATTGAATCGAATTTAATTTAATTGCCCATTGTCTCGAGTGGAATCGTTCTGAATTTACAAAAAATAGTTCTTGAATCGAATCGAAAACCTATAAATCATTAATTGAATCGATTCACTGTCAACCCAAAGATGCACAGCCCTACTGGGAAATTATTTCAAGAACAACAGTGAGTGGAAGGTGTTTAGAAGAAGAAGAAAAACAGAAGACACTATCACAAAGTTTAGGGCCACTATTATGCAGCAACAGATATGCAATCAAATGCTAAATGATGTATTATTTACATAATTTGGGGCACGCACAACTAATCATTTCAGTAGACCACCAAACAGTCAAATGTTTGCCTGTAAATAAGAGATTGCGTCAAATCATTTGTGCTAATTCCACCTTTTTCACATCACTAATTTTGAGAAATAAAATGCAAGACAGAAAACTATTTAAACCACATTGTGTCAGTTCTCCTGTTATTAAATAGGACATTTAAATCATTAATGTTGCCCTTGTGAGAGACTGACCACAGTGCATTTGTGGGTCTGTAGGATCACAGTGTGTGTGTGTGTGTGTGTGTGTGCAGTGTATAAGGGCGAGGCGGACGTGCCACCGTCCCCGGCCTCCTCTCACCACAGCAGCACGCAGGCGCCGTCGCTGACGGAGGAGAAGCGCACTCCGCAGGGCAGCCAGAACTCGCTCAACACCGTCAGCTCGGGCTCCGGCAGCACCAGTGGCATCGGCAGCGGTGGAGGCGGCGGCAGCGGGAGCACCGTGGTCAACATGACGCCCGCCACCCTGCAGCCCTACGACGTGGAGATCCAGCGCGCCGAGCACGAGGGCTTCGGCTTCGTCATTGTGTCGTCCGTGTCACGGCCTGACGCCGGCTCCACCTTCGGTACGGTGTTCGTGTGCTCGGCCAGCGCACGGCTAGGGATGGGCGATACCACTTATTTTGTTTTCGATACGATACTGATGCTTTTAAAGGCCAGTATCATCGATACTGAAACTGATACGATACTTCTAAACTGATCTTTTAAATTATTACATTTATTAAATTACTAAGACTAAAATGGGTAATAATACCCACTTAACTTTATATTTGAAATGCATTTTAGCATTCAGCATGCCTTAATTGCAACTTATTAGGTTATATTTTTGTTTACACATGGTTAAACTATGTTTACTGTAATGGTAACCATGGAAATCTACAAATACTATACCGTATTGTCCCGAATATAAGACGATATTTTTTTCTTGGAAATACATCTGAAAAAACGCGGTCGTCTTATATTCAGGGTCTAGACTTTGACATGTCAATAATACACCCACAACACTAGGTGGCGCCAAATACGCATAAAACGAGTGTGCCATGAAATACGTAATGTAATGCGTGTTGTAAAGATCGCGAGTAAAAACAAAAGAAGCAGAAAACCTTACAGCTGCATGAGTCGTGACTGTCACGTTAGCCTGATGGGACCAAACTCCCTTTGTGATTTTAAAACGTAAGACAGTACCAAGATTTGACGACTACAGTAAGATTTAACTTCTACTGTTCATAAGATTTTGGTAGGCTACTATTAGATGGATAGCGTAAATGTCCTAATTCAGATGGGCTACCTATTTTTTTTTTTTTATGGTATATCAAAAAGTGTATATTTTTTAAATGTGATTTGTTGGTACATTTTACCAGTTTTTATCATACTTTCAAAACAAAAATTAAAATAGGAAAAATATGCAATATGAAAATAATTGAAGACAAAATGTGTTTTACTGAGAAAAAAACAAGATTTGGTTTTTAAAAAGCCTTTTTCCAAAAGGTACATCTGGAAAAAGGGGGGTCGTCTTATAATCAGGGTCGTCTTATATTCGGGCCAATACGGTAGTTAAACTGTGGTCATTTTCATAAGGGACTGCAGGGACAGGCTGTTGAATGCATAAAATACAACCTTTTTTGTTCTGATAGTGTATGATTTATATTAACGTTCCGATGAGCAGGAAAATAGTTCTTTCCTACACAATTATTTGCTGACATAGGTTATTCGTCCAATTTAATCCATATTGCATGCATTATTTTTTGTTAAATAAACAAAATTACATGTAAATGAAACACACCTTAGTATCCATATTTTATATTTGAGTATTGATACTTTTGATACTCACATCAGTATCGATATTTCTAACCACGGCAACAAATCTGAGAGAAGACCTTTAAAACAATGGATGTGATCGATTCATGACTGTGATTTGATTTTTGGTGTTCAGATTGTGTCACTGAACGTTGGCGGACTTTACTTGACATGAGAAAACTTGACTTACTTGACATTTCCCTCTTCTGTCTCTTTGTCTCCCTTTGTCTGTCTTTTTCCCTTCTGCCTCTGAACTGCGACACGCACGCACGCACACACACACTCACACACACACACACACACTCACTCTCACACTCACACTCACTCACTCTCACACACACACACTCACTCACACTCACTCACTCTCACACACACACACTCACACACACACAGCGGGGAACACGGCCATGCCTCATAAAATAGGCCGGATCATCGAGTGCAGTCCGGCTGACCGCTGCGGGAAGCTGAAGGTGGGTGATCGGATCCTGGCAGTCAACGGCTGCTCCATCACCAACAAATCGCACTCGGACATCGTCAACCTCATCAAAGAGGCCGGCAAAGCCGTCTCGCTGCGCATCATACCCGGAGACGGTGAGTTCGGAAATCATCGTCCCTCTCAGTAACGCTGCAGGGTTTCTCGCAGCGGACAGAGATCTCTGGAGTCTCTCTGGAGTCTCCAGACTCTCGCCGCAGGACTGGAGTTTTGTTTGGGCTCCTCTAGCACCACACACCAACACTCAAATATAAAAAAAACTGTAAGGAACTGAAGAAATGTTTTAAAATGACCTGATCCTTATTTGGGGATTAATGTGTTTTTGACAGTTCAAAATGGCGGAAATTGAAACAAATGGTAAAGTTAATGTATTTCTCTAAATTCTATTTTATGCCCCAAAACTTTACAGTATTTTATATCCAAATTACATTGTTTTTTTTAAAATTACAATTATTCTTACAATTATGCCCCCATTTATGGAAATGATTATAAACTAAATGATTTTGTTAAACTCTCACGCCTCTACTGTTTGTTCTGGATGATTACAGTTCTGACAGGATTCACCTGTGGCTTTATACTTTGGTTTTATTGTTTCAGTAAAATCTAATGTATTCATAGGATCATCACATATTGATGATACCATCCAGTTCTGTGAAAGATGCTCTGACTGTTTATTGTGAATGCTGTTTAGAGGACAGTGACTGATCAAGCAGCAACAGCCTTAAACCAATCATCAAAAAACATCAGGATATTTTGAACTCTCACACATGAACGCATGCAATTCTCATGGGCAGTTTGATTCAAGATGACTGTTTTGATTCTAAGAAGGCTATCATGGGTAAACACACACAGAGATGGTAGGGAGGTCAGAGATCAGGCAGTGGGCAGCTCAAACGTTTATGTACATGCAGATATATAGATATGATCTTTTCTACCATTTTTATAAGAATTAGCCACAAGGTGGTGCTGTGATGAATTCATTTACTTTTTTGCTCATATTTCAGGTGGCTTATGGCCTAGAATCTGAATTCTGGAGTATGCCTGTATCTAGAGATGATACAGTACCCCAGCAGATCAGTGACCCTAACCCTAACACTGGTCCAGACACAACGAATGAAAAATAGTCAAGATGCATGGTCAAAACATCACAAAACCTAGAACAATCTGAAGCCCCATCAGATTTCAGCTTCTGTTGCCGTGGCGGTACAGTCTCGACCCGTGCAGCTGCGTGAAAGCCAGCAGATATTGGTCAACAGTACAGATGAATCCACAGCATCTTTCCTTGCAGGGTTGTATGTTTTGCTCGTGTTCTCCTCACATGCTCGGACTTCGATGACTGCCGCCTGTAGCTGCATTTCACGCATTTTCTGTACTCCAGCATGATTTAGCAGTGCTTTTAAAACAACTGTCTTTCTCTCTGCCCGAACAGAGACGTCAAACGCATCGCTACTGACCAACGCAGAGAAGATCGCCACCATCACCACTACACACACACCTCAGAGCAGCACAGAGCCCAGGTGAAACACACACACACTTCACTAGGATCTGTACAACATTTGTATGGATGTACAGTATGTATGTCCTGATTTAGTAATGATACTCATAATAATGATAATAAAAAAGTTATTAGTAACATGAGTGTTCCTTTCTGTTCATCCAGCAGGAATAACAAACCCAAACAAGCTCTGACCCAACCAGCAACCTACAGTCAGGTGAGAGGACAGGTCTGATTGTGTGTGTTGTGTTGAGCAGTGATGCACACTAAATCTAGATGAAGAGGGACAGGTTGTGAAGTCTTCCTTAAACTGGCATAGAAATGTTTTCGGGGATCAGGACTAGTCCTACTAGCAGATTACTAGTTGGTTTGTAACTATTTATTTATTTATTTATTTTTACTTTTGATGTTCAGTCTGTTCTTAAGGCTGAACTTGTGCCCAGAATATTCAGACCCATTTTTTTTTTTATCATTTTGCAGCCTTGTGCTAAGATGCCAAGAAATCAGAAAGATGTGAAATTATTACTGTGCTCAAACAATACCAGGGTGCATAGATCAATAAAAACTGTAATGACTTCAAATTAAAAATACAGGATCTGCACTCACTTTTGTACTTCTTGATGATTTGTAGATTTTTTTTTAATCCATAAAGCGCATGCGGATCAATGGGAATGCTAAAATGCCTAAAATTAATTTTCACATCAGTCTTCACTCCAATACCTCATAATGGACAAAACAAAACACAGATTTGCTGATTTATTAAGAAGACAAAAAACACTGAAATAACTGATGTGTAACTTTAATCCTAACCCTACACTGAAAAACATGTAACATGCACTAATCTTTGTTTTATTTATCACCTTAATTAGTTATCATTTTTAATTTATCATTTTTTAAAAGTGTAACAATGTTCTCCTTTTTTAAATGTAAATGTGATATTAAATGGAAAAAACGGATATTAAACACAAATGTCCTAATTTACATCTCCAAGATCGTATATCAATCTGGAGATGAGCTGAAACATCAAAATTGAAATATCAACAATTTAACATTATTGAGAGCACATCATTTGGCATAAAAATCAGGCTGAACAATTTTTTTTTGTTAGCAAATGACAATGTAACATATATTGTTTGTGAATTCCATTGTTGTGGTTCCCAGATTGCACAAACTCAACGTTTGATTTGGTGTGTTAGATGTGTGGAAGCTTAGCATCGCACGTGTTTTCTGATTTCAAACAGTGTTTATGACCGTCTGTACTGTACATGCAGGCAACACAAGTTTGGCAAGAAGAAACATGTGAGGTCTATTTCTAAAGAGCAAAAGCCTCCATCTGATCACAGTGCTGTCTAAGAGAAACATCTTACAGATATATCATAAAAAATGTATTTAAAAAAATGTTGGTTACACTTTACTTGAAGGGGTGTGCATAATCATGACATGACACCTTCATAATCATGACATGACACGTCATGAATATGAAGTTTTTTTGATCCGGCGATCCACAGCGCGAAGTTGATGTATTTCCTCAGCGACCAGCACAGATCAGCTCTAGGCATGACGAAGCGGATATCGTCCTCTTTTGGAAGACCAAACTAAGTATTTTCGCTTTCACAACAAAACACAAAGCTCTTCACGACATGGCGGCGACAGCAACAATACTACAGCAACAATAAAGTTACGCCTTCTTTCTTTGCGTGAACATTTGGGCGGTGTTATGCA